GCCGCTGTGCGGCTGCTTGTTGGGCTCGAAAGTCCATAAGGCACAACGGAACGAGTGAGTTCCGCAAGAACGACCAGTGAGCGCCTGTCTACCATCGTATATTCCCGATCGAAACAGACAGGACAACAGTCTCGTGGCCCAGTGGTTAGAGGCGTGGACTTCTAACAAACAGATCGCGAGTTCGAGCCTCGGGTGTTCCAAACTTCGGGGTTAGGTATGATTGGCTGACGACGCTAATAAGTCAGACATAGTTATTCCAGTCTCCCTTGTCTTTTTCGGTAATACCATTCTGCCTATATCATGAACCGCTGCGCGGCTACTGTCTGGGTTCGAGAGAGAGAGCCCTAAGGCACAACGGGACAAGTTTGCTCCGTAAAAACGATCGCAGAGCACCCATCTACCATTAAATGTTTATTTTTACGTCGACCAATATATGCCAGGACGACAGATCAAAGCGCACTGGTTTGCGGTTTTTTGCGAACGTTCCTGTTCGCCAAAAAATTCTCGAAAGCTGTCAGCCGTCTTCTTAAGCCCCTCACATTGCCGGTTGCAGACAGACCGGAACCAACTGATGCAACCGAAATACCCACTACCACGACATCTTGGGGCCAGAAACGTTGCGTTTACGCGCGCAGCAACCGTATAGCCGGAGCTGGCGCGTATAGCCGACGCAGACGGCTGAACAAGCATCCGACATGAATTGACAGAACGCCAACGCCCTGGCCTCGTCGCACTAAAGGGACCCAGACACATATTCAAGCTCAAGTTGACCGGAATTCTCACAACTGACGACGGCGCGGATTATCGGGCTGCCAAATGAGTATAGGAATGAATATTTTTTTGCAGCTTTTGCAGGCGGCAGAAAAGGATATCATTCAAAATCTGGTGTCCTGACGTAGCTAAATTGCCTTGAGATTATGCTGCAAGGTGATTAATATAACAACCCTCCTTAAGTAGTTTTTTTCTGATTCGGAAGCGTATTTCAAAATCTCAGTTAACATTTTATAATTTAGCACATCTACTGTACGTCCTAAGCCAAGGGTGCGACCGCCTGATGACAGTAGAGGCCATAAAAGGTCACTTCAGCCCGCCCTTTCGGTAGAAACACATCGAAATCAGTCAAATGCATGAAGCGGACGATGCATCCACGATGTCCCAACAATCCACTCGATCAGCTTTTGCCCAAGCTAACCCGATTCCAATCCGCCAAACAGTCACGATAACCACGACTTAGTGAATGGAAAACAGGACAGTCATAAAGCGTCATTGAGGTCCTGGCGAGATATAGCCAGTAGTGATCAATTTTTGCTCTTGGTGCATTGCCCTTGACGCAAAGTAAGCATACAAAGCAGTCGACCGATCTCGGTGGAATATGGTTCCGGAATGTACCGGTCGCACCCTCGTATCTTGATGTCTAATGACAACCACAAAACAACCGCCTCTCCAGGTCACCGCCTCCTCTGCACACAAGGCCGAAAGCATTAACATGGGTGGGAGCGTCTGTATGTGGATGTAACCGTAAATAGAAGAAGACAAAAAACGCAAAATAAATTCCACATAATTCTGCGTCTGTGGTGAGGCGGAGTCGGGAAGCACCGGCAAGCAGGTGTCAGGGACAGCGGAATAATTTCCACGGGGACCCACGAACGCAGATTTGAGTCGATCCGGCTCAAACTGCTGGTGTGTTATGCTAAATCATGTATGTTGGATGAGTGGCGAGGGGGGGGGGGAAGGGTGGGAACCAGGGAGCGGCAGAGAGGGGTCATCTGTGGTGAGGAGATATTTGTAAGAGCGACGCACAGAGGTGGGAAGAGGCGGCAGCAGAAACGGCAGAAAGCCTTAGAGAAATGAACCGCAGAATCCAGCCATCATCAGTGACGTAGGCAGCGTCGCTCTTTCGTCTGGACCTACTGGTCCTCGAGGGTCTGGCCTCAAAGTAAGTAGAGATCAGAGGCGGTCGCATGAGCAGTCTGGTGCTTCAGCCATACCTCATTCAGATTCCGGTAGGCAGGTTCATCCAGGAAAAGAGGGTTACCGCGCCTACAACCAAACATCGGGAAGGGTACTTATTGAAAATAAATAGTTTACCGGAAAAGGAACCAGTCAGACAAAGCAATATTAATGATGCAACCTACTGCTAATCAGATAATGAGTGGTCTGGATGCGACAATGTAGTCCTAGTCATTATCACCACATCAAGAGAGAACTAGTGGTAATAGTTCCCGTTAGGTCAACAATGACGACCGCAGTAGTTGTAGTCGTAGTAGTAGTGGTGGTGATGGCGGTGGTAGTAGTGGTAGCAGCAGCAGTAGTAGTAGTAACAAAAGGTAGCAGTAGTATTAGTAGTATTAGCAGTAGTGGTAGTAAAATTCGTACTTGTAGTAGTAGTGGTAGTAGTAATAGTAGAATTAGAAGTACTAACAGTAGCAGTGGCAGTAGTAACGGTGGCGGTAGTGCTAGTAGTAGTAGTAGTAGTAGTAGTAGTAGTAGTAGTAGTAGCAGCAGCAGCAGCAGCAGCAGTGATAGTAGTAGTAGTAGTAGTAGCAGCAGTAGTAGTAGTAGTAGTAGCAGCAGCAGCAGTGATAGTAGTAGTAGTAGTAGTAGCAGCAGTAGTAGTAGTAGTAGTAGTAGTAGTAGTAGTAGTAGTAGTAGTAGTAGTAGTAGTAGTAGTGGGGTGTAGGGGGTGTCAGCGGTGGGTTCACGTGATGGTCGTAGTGGTCGCTCACTTGCTTGCAGGTGAGACTACGCCTAGCGTCCATTTGCTGGCACCCAACTCTCACCTGTGGCTCCACGTAGCTGGGCTCTGCTCAGCGGCCACACCCCGGGCAACCGTCTCGACCGGCGGGCTAAACCAGGTGAGGGCGCTGTGCGCTTGTGCCGCGTGCACAGTGTACTGCGGACTCCGCTGGATGGATGGTTGGATGAAACACTGCGCCGGCATCGTCGAGACGAGGCTCTGCCTGGTACGCCGTTGGATAACTGCTGCCGGGACGGGTCTCCGCATCGCCTTCGCTGAGACGCGCCCACCCTCGCCGACGGAGACCGCGAACTCACGGCATATGCGGTCGTTCTCCACTACGAACATAAAAGTCGTGGCCCCATAGTGGGATCGGTCGCGCCAACCAGGCACGTGGGCTGCCCGATTCAGGGGCGGCACTGCCTGCCCCCATGAGGGGAAGGGCCTAGAAAAGGTGGCCTAAACACTGCTGGGTACCACGCCGTCTCCAGGCCAACCAGGGCCGCAGACGTCTAATCATGGTCGAAACAATCAAAATCGAAACAACAACAATACCAATAACAACAGCCATACTCCTTCTCCTCAGCCTACCTCTTCTACCTCTTCCTCTGCCTATTCTTCTCCTTCGTCACCTTCTTCTCCATCTCCCTCCCGACGCCCCACTCGTTGACACCAGACTGGCAGGGTGAGTCCGCTCACTCTGGCAGCCTGGAATGTTCGTTCCCTTTTAGACAATCCGCGGAGCAACCGACCGGAAAGGAGGACAGCGTTAGTGGCACGAGAACTGGCGCGCTACAAGGTGGACATCGCCGCACTCAGCGAGACCCGTTTCTCCGAACAAGGCCAACTGGAGGAGGTGGGTGCCGGCTACACCTTCTTCTGGAGCGGTCGACCCAGGGCAGAGCGACGGGACGTGGGTGTCGCCTTCGCCATTCGGAACGACATCGTGGGACGACTGCCCTGTTTGCCGCAGGGCATCAACGATCGCCTGATGAGCCTCCGCCTGCCTCTCCGGCGGGGGGGCCAAATCGCCACCATCATCAGCGCCTACGCTCTGACCATGACCAACCCCGACGCCGTCAGAGACAAATTCTACGAGGACCTGCACGCCCTCTTGGCGACTGTGCCGATGGCGGACAAGTTGGTTGTCCTTGGCGACTTCAACGCCCGCGTCGGCACAGACCATACTGCCTGGAGAGGAGTGCTGGGTCCCCACGGTCTCGGCGGCTCAAACGACAATGGTCTGCTGCTGCTCCGCACCTGCGCAGAACACCGCCTTATCCTGACAAACACGTTCTTCTGTCTGCCGGAGCGAGAGAAGGCCACTTGGAGGCATCCTCGGTCGCGTCAGTGGCACCTGCTGGACTATGTCCTCGTCCGAAGGCGTGACCAGCGGGACGTGCTGGTGACGAAGGCGATCGCGGGTGCTGACGGGTGGACCGACCATCGCCTCGTCATCTCGAAGATGCGTCTTCGCCTACAGCCTCGCAGGAGACCCCAAGGTAAGCGACCCCCAGGTAAGCTGAATGTTGCCTTGTTGTCCTTGCCCGCTCACCATCTCCATTTCAGCAATGAGCTAGCTCAACGGCTAGACAACCTCCCCATCGCCGATGCCGCCGCTGCCGAAAACGCCTCCGTGGAGAACCACTGGTGTCAACTGCGAGACACGGTCCAGGCGACGGCGCTCACCGTCCTCGGTCGCCCTCCCCGCCAACACCAGGACTGGTTCGACGACAACGACGCCGCCATCAGAAATCTCCTTGCTGAGAAGAACCGCCTACACAAAGCCTACGCCGATCACCCCATTGACGACAACAAAGCTGCTTTCTACCGCAGTCGCCGCCACCTCCAGCAGCGACTGCGCGAGATGCAGGACGCCTGGACTGCTCGCAAAGCTGAGGAGATCCAAGGCTACGCGGACCGCAACGAATGGAAGAACTTCTTCTCCGCGATCAAAGCTGTCTACGGTCCGCCGACGAAGGGCACTGCTCCTCTCCTCAGCGCCGACGGCAGTACTCTCCTGACTGAGAAGACGCAAATCCTTCAGCGATGGGCCGAGCATTTCCGAGGCGTCCTAAACCGCCCTTCCGCCATCTCCGACGCCGCCATCGCCCGCTTGCCGCAAGTGGAGACCAACGCGGACCTAGACCTCCCGCCATCTCTCTAGGAAACCATCAGGGCCGTTCAGCAGCTCTCCAATGGGAAAGCACCCGGATCGGACGCAATCCCTGCTAAGGTCTACAAGCACGGAGGTCCTCAACTCATGGATCACCTGACTGCGCTCTTCCAGGAGATGTGGCGTCAAGGTGAAGTCCCGCAAGATTTCAAGGACGCAACAATCGTGCACCTATACAAGCGAAAAGGGAATCGCCAAGTCTGCGACAATCACCGTGGCATCTACTTGCTGAATTTCGCCGGAAAGATCTTCGCTCGCATCCTTCTCAACCGTCTCAATAACCACCTGGAACAAGGCCTTCTGCCGGAAAGCCAGTGCGGCTTCCGTCGTCATCGGGGGACCACGGATATGATCTTCGCCGTCCGCCAACTTCAGGAGAAGTGTCAGGAGATGCGGAACCACCTGTACTCTACCTTCGTGGACCTGACAAAAGCCTTCGACACGATGAATCGTGAAGGACTGTGGAAGATCATGCAGAAATTCGGCTGTCCAGAGCGATTCACTCAGATGGTGCGTCAGCTGCACGACGGTATGATGGCGCGAGTCACGGACAACGGAGCTGTCTCAGAGGCATTCGCAGTGACTAACGGAGTGAAACAGGGATGCGTGCTGGCACCAACCCCCTTCAGTCTTATGTTCTCTGCCATGCTGATGGACGCCTACCGCGACGAACGTCCCGGGATTCGCATCGCCTACAGGACGGACGGTCACCTCTTGAATCAACGGCGGATGCACTTCCAATCATGCGTATCCACAACAACCGTTCACGAACTCCTCTTCGCCGACGACTGCGCCCTGAACACCACCTCAGAAGAGGAGATGCAACGGAGCATGGACCTGTTCTCCGCCGCCTGCGAGAACTTCGGTCTGGTCATTAACACGCAGAAGACGGTGGTGATGCACCAACCGCCACCCAACTCAGCCACAGCCCCCAACGCGCCGCCGCAAATCAGCGTGAATGGGACCCTACTGCAAGTGGTGGAGAACTTCCCGTACCTGGGCAGTACTCTCTCCCGCACCACCAAGATTGATGATGAAGTTGCCAACAGGATCTCGAAAGCCAGTCAAGCCTTTGGTCGTCTCCAAAGCACAGTTTGGAATCGTCACGGTCTCCAACTGAGCACGAAGCTGAAGATGTACAAGGCCGTTATCCTGCCGACGCTACTGTACGGAGCAGAGACCTGGACGGTGTACACGAGGCAGGCACGCCGTCTGAACCACTTCCACCTCAGTTGTCTTCGTCGCATCCTGCGGCTGAACTGGCAGGATCGCATCCCCGACACTGATGTGCTGGAACGAACGGGAATGCTCAGCATCTACTCCATGTTGAGACAAATGCAGCTGCGCTTGAGCGGCCACTTGGTGCGCATGGACGACGAGCGACTACCCAAACGACTCTTCTACGGAGACGTAGCGACGGGTTCTCGTCGTCAAGGAGGCCCAATTCGTCGATACAAGGATACCCTGAAGTCCTCCCTGAAGCTACTGCAAATCAACCCGACCAACTGGGAAGAGCTCGCCTGCGATCGACCGGCATGGAGGAGAACAGTGAAGACGGGCGCTGCTATCCACGAAGCCAACCCCATCGCCGCCGCCAAAGCGAAACGCGAAGCCCGCAAATCACAACTGCGCCTAGTCAGCAACGCTGCCGCACAACTGCTTCCAACGTGTCCTCGATGTAAGCGGACATTCCGGGCTCGAATCGGCCTTGTTGGACATCTTCGGATCAACTGTACCTCTCGAACTGCACCAAACTTCATCCCCCCGCCCGCGTCATCCTCGTCCTCTCTGCCGCCGAATAACTCTGTGAATTCTTCTGCACCACCACTTCCACCCCCCTCATCCTCCTCCTCCTCCTCCTCCACCACCACCACCACCACCACCACTGCCCCAACGGCGGCCGCTCAGGCAGCCGTCTCGCACATCTCCGACCGCGACACAACAACCGGCACCACCCCCGCCTCTCCTGACTCCAGCAATGAGAATCAGGACTACACCTGTCCTCACTGAGACCGCACCTTCACCTCACACATCGGCCTGGTCGGTCACTTGCGAATCCATCGCACAGAGACCGGCGAACCAGTGCCTGAAGCACCGACCTACACCCACCGCACTCGCCTCCACTGTCCACACTGTCCTCGCACCTTCACGCATCGCATGGGTCTATTCGGCCACATGCGCATCCACGAGAGCGGAATCGACCACAATTCCGACACACCAACCACGCCCATCATGCCCAGCACCACCCTCGTACCGTCCATCTGCGCCACCAATAACGCCTCCTCTGTAGCTGATTCTGACACCGCCGACTTCACGTGCCCACACTGTCCACGCACACTCACCTCACGCATCGGCCTGGTCGGTCACTTGCGAATCCATCGCACAGAGACCGGAGAACCAGTGCCTGGAGCACCAACCTACACCCACCAAGCTCGTCTCAACTGTTCACACTGTCCTCGCACTTTCAGGCACCACATGGGCCTATTCGGCCACATGCGCATCCACGACGACCTGCGGTAGACAACCGCCGGCTACACCACACATCCACACACCCCCTACCCTCCTCCACCATCACCAACACGCATCAACACGTACCCACCGCATGCACCAACTGCCACCTTCCACGCAGGTGGGAAGTGTGCATCTCTTTTCGGTTCCCACGCGGCTTCGGCTGTACGGGTGATTTGAGTCAGAGACTATCCCGACACTTCAAGTGTCGTGGATAGGAAGGTTGCTGATTGATGCCCGCTCTCGGTTCACGCAGTTCGTCGCGTTGTGTGTGTGTGCTGTGTAAAGTGGCGGACTGGTGGGCTGGAAACGGGCTGAAGCAGCACCTTCCACGGCCCTCTCACGCAAGTGAGAGACACGCCGTTCAACCCCCGTTGTGTGAAATCCTGGTGTTTCTGTGTGTATGGGGGGCCAGGTCGTGCTGTGGCGCGCGCAGTCACGGTCAGTCGACCGTGGCAGCCACCGCGCCCATCCATCACTCCAGTATGCTGACCGGCTCGGACGGCGACTGGAGTGTGGGAATGGGAAGGGAGAGTGAGGTCGACGATTCAGCGCACTTTTTCCTCACTATAATCAATCTGACGCGCTTGAAGCTATCACGGTGTGCTAAAAGCCGTGGCTTGGAAGGTTGCCAACTGACGGGGTACCTTGGACCTCCTCCTTAACGGGAGGCGGTCTGAGAGTCAGGCTGCAATGGCTCCTTTTTAATGTGGCCTTTATGGCACTCCCACCACAGTGTGGGATCCGAGCCAGGCGTTGGCGGCACGCCTAGGTGCGGCTTCGGCCGTGCCAGCCTCCAAATCTCTGTTGTGTTGGTTGAAATCCTGGTTATTTGTTTTGTGAACCAGGGGGTGTGGTGGAACGCCAAGGTGAGGATCCGTCCGAGCCATCCACCTGCGGTCTCCCTCGTCTCCGGTCTTCTTGACTCTGTCTTGACACCGGGCTCGGGCGAGGGAGGTGGAGAGAGTGTAGGTAGATGCAGCGCAAGTCTACTGACACTATAAACCTCTGCGCAAGTCACCGTCCCTGCTCCAACCTGCTGTGGGGCACACGGTGGACATCATCGAAATCGATGGTCGAACTGTCAGTAGTAGTAGTAGTAGTAGTAGTAGTAGTAGTAGTAGCAGCAGCAGCAGCAGCAGTGGTAGTAGT